TGCTGACAGAAGGAAATTATCTAGGGACCAGAGGGGAGAGGGCACAGGGGCTGCGATGCAGGAATCCAGTGAGTTGAGTTAAAACTGTGTCTGGGAGCAAGGACCCGCCAAACAAGGACACAGCAGGCAAGGAGAGAATGACAGATGAACCCTTTTTATATCCATTCTGTCTCAACCTACTCACCTGAGGTTTTCTGTGTTGATAAAATTAATATTCTAGTTTGTTTTCCATTAAAATCTGGGTTGCGAGTTCAAAAGCCCCTGGGCAGCTTGCTACACAGAAGAGGTCTTTGCCTCTTCAGACTGGAAGAGCTCCACCTCAAAAGTCTGACCAGCCACAGGTCCCAACACACTTCCCATATTTCTCCGTATTTTTCCACAATAAACAAAGCAAATTCTAGGGGTTGCATTATCTTTCCTGTCTTTTTTTAATCATGAGCAAGAAAGCAGAACACCACAATTCTTAGCCCAGAGCTGATACTGATGGGAGCACAGGGTCCTTTGTTCTTAGTTCATACTTGCACAAAGCAGCTCATTAAAGTAAACCTAAGTTATTCTTTTAATAAGGCGTGAGTCATGCCTGAGAAAAGAAATCAGGATTTGGTCACATTGCTGTGGGAAGGGTATTGCTCTACTGGGAGTTGTCATTGCTCAAGGTGAGGTAAATGTTCATACCAATGGGGCAGGAGCCAAAAGCCCAAAAGATTTCAAACTGCTTCTGAAAATAAGAAATACAAGGGATTTTTATGCTATCTTTGTATAATCTTTCCATTCAAATTCCAAGTTCTATTGAAGAAAATAAACTACTATGTATTAAACCTTTGGGCAGAATTGGAGAGAAGCTGAAAACAAGATATGATCTCATCCTGACCATAATACCAGACTTCCCTTGTTTTACATGGAGCTTGTTTTGAAGCTTATTTTGAGTTCATTTGGCAATCAGCCACATTTGTCCCATTTCCATCTCAATTTGTCCATTTCAATGCTGCCATCTTGTGGGCCTACTTAACTCTCTGAAAGGTGCTGAAATAAGTTCCTCACTGAAACCATACATTTCACCAGAAATCCTTTCCTGACAAGGACATTCCATTAGTGTTTCTGCCCTTTCTTATTTTTGTCCAAATCTTATTGCAAGTTGTTGCAAAACGTTGCACAATTATGGTACAAATAGATAGTGGCAACCAGCAAATATATCTGTTGAGTAAGCCAGAGCTTTCTTTCTGAGTCACATATATTACAGCAAAGTTATAAGATAATGTGGGCAAATCACAAGAATTAATCTAACCACAAAAATATCCCAAAATATGGATCATAAAGAGACAAGAAAAAACCACATCATTTACTAGAAATAGTCATTCTTCATCTGTTTACCAGCAGGGCTGCTCTTGCCATGGCTTCTCAAAGTCTCAAGTAGGAACGGCTCTGTTATTGGTCAAATGCATGCATTTGGTTTTGAAGTAGAAAACCTGAATTATGCAATTAATAATCACATTTCGTCCCTCCTTTTCCCTCCTTCTGTGCAGAGCTGCCACTATACAACTTCAACTGTGCCTTTGGCTGGGGATCTCAAAAGACTTTGTGCCACTGGGAGCATGACAACCAGGTGGATTTAAAGTGGGCAATCCTGACAAGCAAAACTGGGCCAATTCAAGACCACACAGGTAATCGTGAGTTCATGATTTAGCCATTTTACGTGGGAAGAGATTGTTCTGTTTAATACCAACATGCTTTCCAAAACCAGAGGAGAGTGAATTATACCTAAAATATGTAAAGTCACAAAGATGATTCTCTAGGCAACCTAACCTGTTATTTTTAGTCACAACTGACCATAATTGTCGCATCTGTTGGGGAATAAAGATCATTTATTGTCAGGAATTGAAGATATCCCCTTTTCCTGACTTGCCTTTGGATAAACACCACCTGGGATAGAAAAAAAATCGGAGTGACCAAATATTCTGCAAATATCACTTACCAAGTGATAAAGTCATAAACAAACCTCACATTGTTCCTGTTTATAGTTGCGGGGGTTGCCTGCCACAGAAAGGTATTGTAAGTGAAACTTCCCAGATGGATGTATTTCCATACCCTCCTCCTCTACAGCAGGAGTTGGAGATTATAGACACCCCTTTGCTCACACAGAGTTTTTACAGAAATATCACCCTGGGAAATTGATTGGTTGGTTTTGTAGTATCTAACTCATGGATCAGCATAATGAGGCAATAAATATGCTGCTGGCTAGTGGAGACGGGAGGCCACTGTGTGACCTGCACAGCCTCTCGCTTTAGCGTTCTCTCTTGCGTACGTGCAGATTAATCAAATGTGTTGAGATTAATCCCCCTTCCCACTTCTGCAACCCCTTTGCCTAATGAGAATGACAAGGAAATTAGACAAAATTGGACTTTTCAAATTCTGAGACACTTTCAATTGAATCTTAAGACAAGTACAGTAGTTTCAGGGAAAAAACTTATAATACTTTGACTATAAATGGCATTGTACAAATAAATGGCATCAAATTAACTAAATGCAGTTAGCTGAAGTGAAGACTGTAATGGTGGAAAAATTGATGTAAAGTGAAATGGCTCAGTAGGATCTGACATTGAAAGGAGGTTAAAAGCTATGTTAGCCAGAGACTGACAAAATCTAAAAGGCATGCATAAGTAAAGCTCTAATTAAGACAATGAAGACAGAGTTCCTGACCCAGCACTGCAATAATATTCTGGAAATGAGAGCTATCTGCACTTTGCCACCAAGGATTATAGAGAGACTGAACCTGTCTTCAATCAAGAGATGAAGAAATTATATTCTTCAAATGAGACTTTGTTGTTTCCACTGGGCCCTGCTAGTGCAGAAGACTTATTTGTTCCATTAGCTGTAGCTTCAGTAAGTCTTACAGGCAGCTCCTTTTGCTCCTTACTGCACTAACTTTCAATATTTTCCAAAATTTTCCTTCAACTCTAAGGGCACCTTCACCTGCCAGTTTTGCTGTTCACATGACAGCGAGTACTGAATGAGTGGATTGGGTGTGAACACAGACCATGAGCAGTCTGAATAGCACTACTGTCCCAAAAAAGTCCCTCAGTTTCACCTCTACACAGCAAGACCATCCTATATACTGGGAGAACTGCAATGAGCAGTTCCCAGGCATATCTTGCTCTCAGCTGCACTTGCATAAAGCTGAAGAAACTCCACAGAAGTGTTCTTCAACAGCAATTGCTTTAAGACAGCAGGATATGCTGTATGTCACTTCAAATTATACATGGTATCATTAAATCTGGACAGAGTTAGGTCTTCCAACTGAGACAGCCATCCTAATACTGTGATTATTTTTCTTTTTTCCTCTCTTTGGATTTCCCTATCACCATTCTTTGATGAGATTTGCACATGTTGTGCTGCCCTCTGCACAGAAGCAAAGTTGGAAAGAACATATAGACCCAAGTACTGCTGCTGAAGAAGCTGGACAAGATGTTACTGTAGTAAGACAGAAAAACAGAAGAAAAAAAAAAAGTCTAAATTTTTTTGTCAATTTAATATCATCTTCCCCTATAAAATTCTTTCAAAGACCAGATACTTCCATATGCATATTGGCCAGGATATCTCTGACTGCCTACAGAAAAATACAAGTAAAAGAAAACATCCTTGTCTCCTGTTAGAAAGTATTTCTCTTTCTCATCTACTAGGCCCATTTCTTCCAACCATTGGGTTTAACCCACTCTTTTTTGTTCCTGGTTCACCTTTTACTACGCTGTCCTTCTTCTACTTCCCAGAGTGGCAATGCTCATTTTCCCTTCTTCATTGGTGCAGGACTATACCATTACAATCCAGCAAATCTCAATTATACATTATTTCAAATGAAATTCTAGAATATAATGTATAAGCAAAGACCAATGCTGCTAAAACATCACCCTTTCAAAACATCTTATTTCACCTTTTTTTACTTTTCTTTTATTTAAGTGTTGGTATAAACAGAGATATATATACTTATTTCAGCATTTGAGAAATAGTATTTCTTATTATTTCTTTTCTCCTTCCTGCTTTCAAAATAACTTTATACCAATGCCAGTAAATGCTATCTCCATCCTTTTGTGTGAGTACATTACTCATGCCTGCCTGGTTCAAATCAGAAGCGCTTCTCTGTAGTCATTAGCTTACTTTGCAATTTTCTGTACCAAATTTATGGCACTCCCACGTGCTTCTCTCCCAGTGTGATTAAGCAAGTAATTTTCCAAGTTAAGGGTATTAGGGATTCAGATTTCAATGTGTATAAATCCATTATGCTCTTCAGAAAATACCAGCCATAATCTTACACTTTCAGGAAGCAGCTCACGAAGTCCAATATATTATTGCCAAAATCAAGGGAATAACTCTGGCACTGTTTGTGACAACGCTCAGACTCTATTTAGGAGCACTGTTTAGATCTCAGTTCCTGATCTCTGACCATAGCCTGTTCAAAGCTATTTGATCCTCCAGTGTTCTCCCCATTCTAATCTTGCCTTCTCAAGCACAGATTACTTTAAACAGAGATTAAAAATAGCTCTTTGCACCATTAGTGTAGAGTAGGCCCCAAGGGATTTCTGTCTAGCCTCCTGAACTAGGAGGTGCACACTGGCTAATGGAGAACATGCTGTCACACCAGACATGCTTTTGCCTCCTTCCCTGAGCAAAAGAAAATGCCTTGTGTTTGCTATGTAGTGAACACGTTGTTAGTTCACTCTGTGCACAAAACATCCCAGTAGACTGCCAGAAGAAATAAACTCCTTAGAGCACGTCAGCTTTCCTAGAGCTCCCAAACCAACACCTCCTACATTCCCAGTTGTAAGGCTTGACCCACCAGAATGGAAAGAAAGCAAAATGATCAGGGGTGTTTGGGGCTTCTTAGGTAAACAAAGAAAATGAAAGCTGGTGACTATTCCTAACGCAGTCCTTCTGTCACAGTAGGAGATGGCAATTTCATTTACTCACAAGCTGACGAAAGCCAGAAAGGCAAAGTCGCCCGACTGCTGAGCCCCGTGATTTACTCACAGAACTCTGCCCACTGCATGACTTTCTGGTACCACATGTCTGGCGCACACGTGGGCACCCTGAAGATCAAACTGCGGTACCAAAAGCCAGATGAATATGACCAGGTGCTGTGGACCCTCAGCGGACACCAGGCAAACTTCTGGAAAGAAGGACGCGTTCTTCTTCACAAGTCTGTGAAACACTATCAGGTGAGCTTGGCTGCTCCTAGCTGAACAAACAGAGCTGAGGCCAGAAAGACCTTATTGGTCATGTTTTATACACCATAGCAGAAAATGTCACTGAAGGATTTATGTAGAGAGTATTATATCTACAGATGAGGTGCTGTTGCTGTGACAGTAATAATAGTGGCATATTTCATGATGTCTCAGATGACAGTGATACAAGGAATTTGTTATCAAAGGCCAAATAAATAGTTTAGAAATAATTTCTTATCTGTCACAGAACTGCATCTTTGCCACAGTTTTACTGCTGATATAAAAGTCTTTAATGAAGTTATGACATATAAATCCAACTTACTTATATAAGGTCATAAAGGCATGCAGTGTAGATTGGCAGGCCACAATCAAAGCACATGTAGATGTGGCATCATGACAAGTGAAAATGTGTGTTAACAACTAATTAAGAGATCCTGAATGCTACAACTTTGTATTAACAGAAAAACAGTGTTAATATTTTCATATTTTTCCAGGTGGTTATTGAGGGAGAAATTGGAAAAGGAACTGGAGGAATTGCTGTGGATGATATTAAGATTGACAATCACGTAGCACAAGAGGATTGCCGAAGTAAGTATGAATAGAAAGAACATACAGAAATCTCATTCAAAATGTTATTTATTTTGTTTTGATAGCTGTTTTTATCTGTGAGAAAGGGATAGATAATTACTAACTATATAGGAAGTTTTGCACTGAAAACATCCTGATCTGGCCCATAGTTTTATTCATGGCAAGTGCCACTGGTGTCCCCTCAGTACTGCAGCAACTGCAGTCTTTTGAACCAGAACTGGCATCCTACTGACACGGGTCACAGCACGTTCACATTCTCACACCTCCCTTTATATTTTAAATTGCCACTCTCTTTAAATTTCTTTGTTTTTCCTAATGCTTTTCCCTGTTATAACTGATGCTCAAAATCCAATTTTAATTCTTCACCCTTTTCTGATCACTTACTACCAAGCCTACCTGAATTCTATTTTAAAGGACCATATCAAACCCTTACAGGATATACAGATAGGGCAAAACAGCCCCTGCTCTGTCCTCTGCTGTCCTTTAATTCTGAGTTTGTTGTGACTCGTTTGCTGTAGTCACCAACTCACAGACCTGTGGAACATGATGTTAGAACATAGCCTTTTCCAAATCTGAGCAAGGCTATTCCTGAGATGCTATTTGAGTCCTTTAATTTCTGGCCAGTCTTGAGTTATTCCAGTCACTGCTGCTCATATGTGCATTGCATACTGCATGTAATTTGGCAGCAGCAACCCCAGATAAACACAAACAATGGAACCCTATCCTTTATGAAGCAATGACTTTTATGTAGGAGAGGGAATAGAACTGAGAACCCTCAGCATTAGAAATATAAACTTATGCCATCCACATTGGTAACACAATTGAGAGCAATAATAGAGAATGTTACTCACCTTTTGAGGGTAATATGACAGAATTCAGCCTCATAGTAATTTCACGGCAGGATGAGAAGGCTGTAAATCTCTTTTTATCACACAGTCCATTTCCTGGAGTTCATCATATGCCACCAGCGTGACAGTTACCAGGAAAGAGAGGCAGGACACACTGCTTGGTCCTCCTACAGTGTCCTCAGTGCCAAGAAGGGTGCTGGGATCACAGTCATGGTATTTACCTGACTCCAAAGTGAGAGGAAAGCAACTTCGTTCCTACCTCCACATGTTTTGGTTGTTCAAACCAAATGTCAAGCAAAGATTTTGGCCTGTGAGAGCTAAAGCCAAAAGCTCAGTCTGAAGCCCAAACACAAGTGGTCTCACTGCAGTCAGTGAAACTATCCTTGTGATTAACTACGCCTACACTGATGAAGTGTTACAGAATTGGGCTCCAAAATTGTAAATATAATGAACAAGATGATAATTTATCACACTGATTTCTCTTTCCCAGGCATGGAAAACCACTGCTGATAAAATTGTGCCAAGACTAGGTGGAGAGGATTTTAAAATCTTTCTTTTCTCCATTAATTTTCAGAGCCCGTCATAATGAACAGTTCTGTCAAGCTGACATAATGATGCTCTGATGCAGGAAAATCTGCTATACCATTATTGCCAGCATGATAGTCAATCAGTGTTTGTAACCCTAATAATCAATGTCAATTCTCTTTGCTTCATTAGAATCAACTGATGTGAAGAATGAAATAGATGAAGAAGACGACCCAGAGAGTAATCAAACAGGTAAAAATTGTGTTATTGTTAAAAGGGAATTAATTTTAAAGTGTATTTTCATGTGAATATGTGATTATTCTATTTATTTATCTATAGATTAGTTCTCTAACTGCATATTGTATTAAGGCTTTTTGATTTATCTAGACCAGATGCTAAGAAGGCTTACATTTATTTGAAGGATGTAATAGTTTTATTCCTCTGTGTCATATAATCTTATGGACTTCGTATTATTTATACTTATCTCAAACCTTCCAGATTTTATAAACATTATTTGTTACACTGTATTCATATATATGCATGCACACTATAGCTCCTTAATATTTTGTTATCTAGAAGGCTTGTCCATAGCTGAAGAAACAGCTATCATTATGTCTTCCAGTTACGGCTTGCACAGTTTCTAGGTAATTAGGCTCAAAACTCTTCAGGCTAATTGTTTCACAGACCTGGCTGAAAATGTAATTTCATGACCAGTCCACCAAAGTATTATCATTTTCAATGATGATAGCTGGAAATGGTTCATTAAATGGATCATAATTGTCATATTGTCCCAATAATAAAATATACTTGCCTCTTTCAGGCAGTGAGCTCAATTTTGTTCTGTTACAGTCAACAGGAATGCTATCATTGATTTCAGTGAAAGCAGGGTTTGTCCAAAAAGACTTTTTGGCTTTTCTTGCAACAATTAGCAGAGTTTTCGAGCTTCTTGGATCTCTTTCATAAACTGAAAGAGTTGAGGGAAAGTGTTCTGATACCCAGTGGCTATTTTACACAAGGGGGCAGAGTGCTCGTCTGTGTCGGTTCTGTCACTATTTTCATCTCAAAATCCAATCCTGAAGTCAGTGAAGTGGAGATGGATGCAAAACGGCTGGAGATTACAAACTGATGTCTAAGGCTGTAAAAATTCACACTGAGCTGAATAAGATTTAATTAACATTTTCAAGCTGAATACTGCAAGCTGGCAAAATATAATCAAAAAGTCTGGCTATTCATTCCCAAGACTCCCACTTAATCCAAGGCAGAATCAAACCCCCACTAACATGCAGAAAATTCAAGGATTGGAGAACAGTATGAAAAAAACCCAGCAACTATTTGGGTGGCATTTTAGTTTTCAGCTATTTATGACTACCTCCAAGAAGCTAGGTTTTCAATTATATAGCGATTTATGTCAAAAACTTGATGCCCTTTTTCCAAATTTCCAACTCATCAAACAAAGTTCTAACTAGAATCAGTTCTGAAAATTTTTGCAATTCTTTACTCCCTTTCAGGGTTTACACCTCCGTACCATACAGGCGAGGACTACGATGATAACATCTCCAGGAAACCAGGCAACGTCCTGAAGACCCTAGATCCAATCCTTATTACCATCATAGCCATGAGTGCACTTGGGGTGCTTTTAGGAGCCATCTGTGGAGTTGTCCTGTACTGTGCCTGTTGGCACAATGGGATGTCAGAGAGGAACTTGTCTGCACTGGAGAACTACAATTTTGAACTGGTCGATGGTGTAAAACTGAAAAAAGATAAACTAAACACACAGAATTCATACTCGGAAGCGTGAAGGTATAAAGCGACTGGAGGAATTTCAGAGAATCGGGATGGAAGGACATAGCTCGGTCATGCTGGGGAACTGTTGATCTTCTTTTACTGTACAGGCTGAAAAGTGCATTGATGACACTGAGCCAAGCTTTTCTCAGGAGCTTCAATGAGTGTGTAACCGATAAACATGGACAACAATCTGTGTTAACAATCTGAATCATGTACAGTCTGCTTTTTCTGTTGGTTTTATTTGAAATAATCAAATGCTGGTGTTGAGACCAAGTATGATTGACTTATAGTTCATTTTGTCTTTCTTTCTCTCCCTCTCTTTTGTTTTCCGTTAATGATTTATTGGGTTTTTTACTGTGCAAAATCCAAGATGCTGTCACAAAATGTATTCAGTGGGGTCCTTTGGGTGGACATGCTGTCTGTAGCTCAGTGCCCAGAAAATATTGGAGTAACAGCAATTTAGTGGACTCCTGCACCTGTATTTGTGTATAATTGCTCGTGTTGTGCATAGGCGAAGAAGGGTTAGGATTTTTTTCAAAGTACTGCTGCATCAGTACTGATATAGTGTGTCAGCTCTGTTTACAAAGCAATACAGTCAAATTTTATTGATGTTTTTCAGTGTTGTACTAAATTTTGTGCTTGTGAACTCCATAAAAGATTATGTGCCATCATCAGACACAACTGGTAACCGAGTGTACTGCCTAAAAACTAAACAAAAAAGTCCTTGGCACTGGCTAGTGTATGTCCTCTCAAGTGCCTTTTCGTTTGTACTGCTTCTCATTGTGTTAACATTAACTACAGCCCTGCTTCTCCACAGTTACGCCCTTGTCGTTAATCATATTCTGATGGCTCACTGACTAAAAGAAAAATATATTTTAGTGTAAGAAAGTAGCTTCAGAAAGGCAAGGGCTAATCAGATTTGACAACCTGGCTCGATTGTTCTGCTTTCTGTATTTCATGTCTCTTGACCCTTTTGTATAAAGCTGCAATATCCCCTTTTATTGTTCTTTCTTTCATATAGAATGTATTTTCAAATGTAAAATCTCTCCCCCTTTCTCGTCTCTTTCTCTCTCTCTCTCTCTCTCTCTCTCTGGGTAGATTGCATAAGCATTTGCCATTGCCAAGGAAAGAAAACTGCAGCTTTAACTTGCTGGTAATGGCAAAGGATTTTATTAGAGTTTGTGTTGAAAATAAGGGAAAATTCTTAACTTTACCCTCCAAAGTAGAACTTTGGGTTTCTTCTTAACAGCATAAAGTGACAGTATCTTTTTTCCTGAAGTCATGAAACATGTCTTTTAACCTGGACAGCTTGCCTGTTAATTATTCTAGGGAAAATTATTCCCTTACTGAAAAGATTGCCTTTAAAATAAGAAACTTTTCTCCTCCTGCCCCTACCTGAACCCAGAGTTCTCTTCTCTCAGTAAATATGTATTTTAATGCTAATCAATGCTAATTAGATTTACACATGGGTACTGAGGGCAGAATAAAATCCCACTGTGTATATAGGGTATGTTCTTACCATCCTGTTATATCCAATTGGCATTTTATACCAGGAGGTTTTTGTTTGACCAGAAGTGCAGATAGTGACAGATTCAGTGAGCTGAGTAGTGTAAGCTGTCGGGAAAATGTGTTTGACAATTATGTGGCAATTTTTTAATATTTTAGGACAAACACTATTGGACAAATAGTATTCAACAGCCTATGCAGCTGGTCCAACAGGGTAAAAAGAAACAAGATTTTGTTGCCCTCAGAGGTCCCTAGGAGGAGGTGAGGGACCAGAGGGATCCTGCTGTCCTGCAGGTGTGAGGGGAACCCCTGGGTGTTCGGCAGTGACCCGCACACAGCACAGCCATCACCGGGGAGGTGTGGAAAAGGCAGCCTTAACCTTTCCCTGGGTATCTACCAAACAGCAGATAAAACCAATGCAAACATGGGGAAAGGAATGTCTTGCAAATGCTGAACTCCTGCTTTTCCTGACTGAATTCCCCAAGTAGAGTCAGAGAAGCAATTGTGACTTTCTGAGTTAATCTTTTCCAAAATTGCTTTTGTAGTAGAGCAATGAAGTATCCTGTCCAGGATCAGGACTACAGAAGGGCTAATTCAGCCTTGAATTACTAGAACAACAGAATCCACCCCTCTGTATCAATTATATGTTTTGAAGCATATCATTTCACCAATATGAACCATAAAACAGAAAAACATGTCAAAAATCCACCAGTAACCTAGAAATTTAAGAAAAGGGAGGGAGACTGGAGGTAAATATATGATTTCAGAAAGTGAAAATATTTTAAAGGAAGACCCAATAGAAAAAACAGTGGACAATTGCTACTTCAAAGGAATCCTAAAGGCAGAGACTATAGTGAATATTCAAACACCCATTTAGATGTCTGAACCTCCCCAGGCTCTAGATCCTGGCTCCTCCAGAAGGTGAGACAGAACACCTAAGGCCTGAAAGTTAGGCCTAGAAGTTAGTCCATGAAATGTCCCAAGAGACACTTTGTCAGAGGCATTACATCCAACAGTGTAATTTGACCATAATGTTATCACAGCAGCTAGTTAATTAACCCAAAGAAAAAATGGATTTTTCAAAACTATTTTCAGCACACCACCACCATGTGATTCAGGTGTTAGGGTCTGTTCTCCTTAGCTGAAAAAACTTCTAGTCCACTAACCTGACTGCAAGTTACATGCATATATTGCCTTGAACAGAAAATCCCATTGGGGGGCCCAGGCCCAAAACCTTTTGAAATATTCCCATGGATTTCAATAGATTCTGGACCAGCTCTTCATCTTGATCTATTTGAACAGTAAAGCTGGTGGTTGGTGTTTTTTTTCTTCTTTAACATACTGAGAATAGTGAACATAAAAAGAAATATATCTCCTTTGTGGTCTTCAGACCTTACTATGATAATGAGGATCTAGCACTGAAGATTTGATTTCTGTGAAGGTAATAGAATGAAAGATGCCCTTCAATAAAGGAAAAATGATACTGCAACTTTACATTGAAAAGTATCTTGCACTGATAAATATATTTAAAAAAAATATATGTTTATAAAGTTATTAATTTGTAAAGGCAGTGTTACAAAATGTTCAGTTTATATTGTTTTAGATTGTTTCATAATTTTTAAAGTGTAAAATAACATATTTTTTTCTTTATTGAAAAACTATAAAAATCTTCTGTAGTAAAATGATTTCATTTTACTGGTATATTATTGCTTCATGTTTTGTACCATCATAAAACTTTGTGCAAATTTTTTTTACAGAAATTTTTATTTTCTATGACAATATGACACTTGTAAATTGTTGTTTCAAAATGAACAGCGAAGCCTTAACTTTAAATGACATTTGTATTCTCAGACACTGAGTAGCATAAAAAAAAATCACATAGAACTGAACTGTAACTTAAATTTCCAAACTATGACTACTACATTCCAAAGAAACAGTTGAATTAAACATTTTCATAAAATATCCCATACCTGATGTATTTTATTGTACTAAAATGGATTGGTTTTATTAAATGGCTGTTTTTATTTAGCATCTTGCAACAAGCACAATGTTTTAATCATGTTTACATTTGTTGGTAGGCAACTCCAGCAAACAGACACCTTGGTGGGACCGTTCACAGTTTAGGATGGGAGGATTCACCTTCTGCCTGCCGAGTTCTCTCTCCCTGCTGGAAGACACTTTTAGCCAAACAGCAGGGATTTAAGAGGACAAATCTGCCACCACTGCTCTTAGGCTGTAATGCACCTCGCTGTCATGGGAAGCCCAAGCCGCACACCCTACAAAGGTCATACGTGTGCCTTGTGGCTCGCTCTTAGTCAAGTGAGCTTTACCAGGGGATAATGTCAATATTTTACAAGTTGCTCCACTAAGTCTCTGCTCCAGTAGTAAGGTTTGTAATGATGAGCACCCTGCAAATTTCCACTGAAGTCATCCGGACTTACACAGCCATGGCCAAATCTTCCCATGCAGAGCACAAGTTTCTGATGGGAGCAAATGCTGCAAGGGCAGCCCATTGGGCTTAATTCAGCATTCAGCTGGGTGCTGAACTTACCTGTGGAACACACAATCATGGGTAGGGAGCCCTTCAAGAAATTTGCATCCAGGCCAGAAGTTTTAGACTGCACATTTCCTGTTATATGCCGTACTTACCTATTTGTTTCTTTTTAATATTAAGCAGTTTGCACAGTAAAGTTTGTCAAATCCTTTCTTTATGTTGCACACATGAACAATGCACGTACTGTCAGTATGTCATTAGGTTGATTAATGGCTGATAATGGATATTTATGGATAAACATTTTACTTCAGCTGCTGCACTACTCCTGGGAAAACTTATTACCACATATTTGATGATTGTTATACCTGAAGAGACAGTATCACAACTTGTCTCCTTGAGAGAGACGTGTGGAACTACAGTGCAGCTGAGCAAAACTTGTCTTTGTGGTCAGAGTAGGCATTGCTCTCAGAAGACAGCTGTGAAGGTTGCTGTCCATAAAATCATTAAGTCCAGATTCCTTAGAAATTTACTTCATTGCACTCTGTTTGCCTCTGTGATAACCAGCCATAGTACTCTTTTGAGGGAAAATAAATGGCAATGGAATTAATTAGTGCAAAAAAGAAATCTATAAAGTTAATCCATTGAGGATGAAGTTCAGAAAACAGAGAAAAGTATTTTAAGTTAAGAAAATTCTCTTTCAGCTAGCAGAAATTAATTAGCCTAGAAGCTAACAATTACTTAGCACTAAACCTTCAGTTTTCCACACTAAATAGGCTGCATAAAGGAAAGACAAAAATGGTGCAATGGGATCTGAATTACATTTCAGAACATAACTTCTGAACTTGAAAGAAGAAGAGCAGATGAAAATAACAGATGGGTCAGCTACAGACAACTAGTGCCAGGCGTGCATAAGTCTGAGGCTCAACTATTAGGGTCATGGTCTGTAAAAAGGGTCTTTGGCAGGTAGAGACAAGAAAACCCTATAATTATTTCACCAGTCAAACACCAGCCCTGAGCCAGCAACCACATAACCACAGTGCTGAGCCCAGTCCAATTTCCTTGTCTTTTGGCAGGACGTAAAAATCAATTAAACAGCAAAAGGCAGATGTACAGGAGAGGCAGGGGTGGCACAGCTTACTTATGGTTGGGTAAGGTCCACTGGTATCATGGAAATGACTGCAGTGCCTACCTGTACAAACCTGCCCCCTGGACCAAAGCTGCCAGTGCTGGTCAAGATGAAGGCTCCTCAGTCGTCATAAACTACCTTTTATGAGGCATATGAGGACTTAACAGGTGCATACTAGTATAGCTCTAAAACTGACACTTGTAAGGCTTTTCTTATATACAATTAGTCTATTTCTCAGCCTCCTAACTCACTTTCCCAAAGTCAAATGTCAAAGTTGGTTTTGATTTTCAGTTCACGGCATCTAGAAGTTAGATCCCAGAAGTAATTCCCTTCCCATTCCTTGTCTTGTCCTTTGCAATGCATTATGCCTAACTGCATATTGGTTCAAGCAACATTTATTAGAGCTTTAATTTCTTCTTTTATACCATTTTATGCCTCTAGTCACCCACAACCATAATTAATCTACATGTGTTTGTTAAATTATAACAGTGTGTCTAATTTTTTTATTTTTTTTATTATTTTTTTTTTGCCATGGGATACTTTGCATAGTTGTTTTATTTGCTGATTAGTCCCCCTGTAGACCCTAATTGCTTTTCTACAGTAGGTCAGTTCTCTATATACACTTCTATTCTCATAGCTACACACAATCAAACTCTAATCTTATAACCCCAGGACTGATGGTGTCTCAATGTTTATAACTCAAAATCTCATTAAAAAATCTTCTGGCATTTTTCACAGATGAATGGAGTCTTATCATGTGTCCAAACCTAATTCCACCTTCAATAATCATATCCTCCTATTTAAATTTACATTGTTTTTATTCATCTCTCAGACATTTGATTCATGTCCCTGTCATTGTACAGCATCACCGTGCACCACACATCGTGTTTTACTACAGACAGTTGTGTTTCCATAATGGGTGAAGTGGGTCCAATTGAAAAAAGAATGACAGTCTTACTGGAGCATCTCTGGTACCAGACAGAGAGGTCAGACTGTGTTCTCAAGGGGAGAAGGTAAGGAGGAGGTTTGTCAGGGTTTTTCAGGTGTTGCCATGACAAAGACTGAGGAATTTAACGATGAGAGGCTGGAGGATGAAGGGCTTACCTGAGGAAACAAGTATTTCAAGTGACATGAGAAGCAAAGGGAATTATCAGCAAACTCCCATGTTCAATTCCTTCCTCACAAAAAAAAAACCAACTTTACAATTCTCAAAAAATGTCTGCATCACAGAAATGTCTGGCAGCTGTCATGCTCTTTTACATCCTCAGGCATGGAAAAAGGGAGTGGGGGTACCAGGTTAGCTGAACCTAAATGG